CAGAGAGAGAGAGAGAGAGAGAGAGAGAGAGAGAGAGAGAGAGAGAGAGAGAGAGAGATGTTGGGCTTAAACACTAGCATAATTAAAAATCTATAGTAATCAGGAACTATTCTTTGTATATTTGTTTGTATTTAACAAGTTCTTCAGCTATACGTTGGTAGACTGATACTTTGGTAAAGAACCCATATCGAGTATGCGCATGCTCTTCCTAAAAGTTCTTTTGATGTAGGCAAAATTATGTGCGTGTGTATTTGTATAAGTGTGCATGTGTGTATGTATGTGCGTGTGAGAGAGGGGGCGAGGAAAGGGGAAAGAAACGTGGAGTGGGAAAGTGAGAGAAAGGGATAAGGAGAGAAAGAGAGAGAGAGAGAGAGAGAGAGAGAGAGAGAGAGAGAGAGAGAGAGAGAGAGAGAGAGCGAGAGAGATTTTTAAAAAGCCAGGTTGGACGAAAGATCTTGCACAGGAATAGGTTGAGGTAACAGTTAGAAATTTTCTCAACCCAGCTGAATCTGAACAATGCAATCCTCTGTACTCTCGTGTGAAGGATGCGCAGAGTTCACAGGAGATGCTTTGAAAATGGATTCAAACATGAGGCTAAGAACTAATCTCCGGGGTTTTTTTTAACTCTCCCGTTACAAGAAAGACACTGAGAGGGTTTGCTTTGTTTTGTTTTGTTTTTCTTTGTTTTTCTTTGTTCTTGTTTTGTTTTTGTGTGTTCGTTTCGGGGGATATTTTGCTCGGCAATCGTTGTTTTAACACAGAGCCAGTAATTACAAATGTATGTCTCTTCTTCATTTTTTTTTCAAGACTTAAGACGGCGCTTTCGTTCTTCCCGAAAGAATTCCATTGGTTATTAAGGGATATTCAGTGCTTTATTAAGTTGCCACGCCAGTGCTCATACTCACTTGGGCCCAAAGCTAACCACCCAAAATAAACATGCTTTTAACATAAAAATTTGTGTATAATACACACAAATATATATGTATTTCTCTATCATAGTACATAATGTAAACATTTTAATACAATTTAAACACGTGTATGAATAAATATTTTAACAAGATGTCCCAAAAGTGGAATATTATTCTGAAAACCTGCATATAAGTCGGGCACCATCTTGGAAACCTTTTTTATGATAAATATTGACGCAATTCAATGTGTATGCCTTTAGATTGAATATTGGCTGTAAAATTACCCAAGGAAGATCAAGTACGGCTGGTATGGAAAGCCAGGGGCATCACACCATTCTGCAGCTGAAGATTCCTGGGCGACAACCACAAAGTCACACCACTGTCGGTCGCTTCGTCAAACGTTTCCCCGAAACTGACACACTTACAGATCACGTGCGAGCATTTATTATAGACTAATCAATTGAGCAATTTTTCCATAAAAACAAAGATTGAGAACAATTTCTGTGACATACTGTATAAAAAATATGCAAATTAATTATGTAACTGAAATGAGAGGACAGTTTGAATATAAATAAATTGTTTTAAAAATACAAGCAGGAAAAAAGGGAAACATTAAAAAACAAACAAAGGCGGAAGAACCGAGATACACAGATAAAAAACGGAAACAGCAACATAAAAAAGAATTATTCTAACCTATTGTTGAAGCCGTAGTTGGGCGTAACTCCCATCTGCTGCATGGAGTTGCCCGCCATCATTTGCTGCGAGTAGGGGTCATAGGAGGTCATCTGGGCGTTGCCCATGCCGCAAGACATGTTCATGGCCGAGTTGTGAGGGCTCATGAAGTCGTAGTGGCCCATCATCCCGCCTCCTCCGCCCATTCCGTTCAGCATCCCGAACGGCTTGAGGGCCTGGCACTTCCTACGGAAACCGCGCGGCCTTCTCCTGAAAGATCCCTCCTCGAACATAAACTCCGCGGCGGGGTCGATGGTCCAGAAGTGGCCCTTTCCCGGGCGTCCGATGCCTTTGGGCAGTTTGATAAAGCACTCGTTGAGGGAGAGGTTGTGCCTCACGGAGTTCTTCCAGCCTTGGTAGCTGCCTCTAAAGAAGGGGAATCTCTGCTGTAGGAACTGGTAGATCTCACTGAGAGTGCAGCGTTTGGTTGGAGAAGACTGTATCGCCATGACGATCAAAGCGATGTAGGAATACGGGGGTTTTTCAGAGCGCCGGACGCCCACCCCGGCCTTTTTCCCGCCTTTTCCTTCCTCTTCGGGACTTTCTGGGGGATGGGTGGTGGTGCTTGGAGACTCGTCCCCGCTCTCTCCGTCTCCCATCTCCTGGCCGCTGCTGCTTCCACCTCCTCCACCACCACTTCCTCCTCCTCCTCCTCCCCCTCCACCACCTCCACTGACATTATTACCACTCCCGCCATTACTTGTGGTGCCTGTGATGCCTGGATTCCCTGTTCCATTTCCCGGCACTTTGCCCTCCATCTTGGGTGGTGACGTCATTCCATGCATATCATGACCGTTCGTGACTGGCAGCATGGTGGAGGGCTCGTAAGGCTTCATAGAAGTGACGTCATAAGGTTTGTGTATCACGTGATCGTAGTGACCACGATTCTGTTGGTGATCATAAGGTTTTATCGGAGAGTCATACGGTTTGAGAGACGAATCATAATGTTTGATGGAAGATTCGTAAGGTTTTATAGAAGACTCATACTGTTTTATTGAAGACTCGTAAGGTTTAATTGAAGATTCGTAAGGTTTGATGGACGATTCATACGGTTTTAAGGACGTGTCGTAAGGTTTGTGGTCCAATAGACACTCCATTGTGAGTCTGAAGAGATGTAGCTAGTCAGCTAGAAGATAACACAAATTGTCTCTAGCTCCTGGTCTCGGTCTCCTCTGTTGTTCTCCGTCTTCTTCTCGCACAGGGATAGTCACAGTCGACTTGGTATGTCCATTCTCACGCCCGGTACAGACTATCTGAAATGAATGGAAAAAACTATAGAAATGGCAGCAACAACCAGAAAAAAAAAAATAATAATAGCATTGGTGTAAAGGATAACAGTAGCAAGAAGGAAAAATAATAATTATAATAATATCAAAAAAAACAACAACAGCAACAACAAATCACAAAAACAACAACAACAACAACAAGAATAATAGTAGTAATAATAATAGTAATACTGAAAATAACAATGATAATTATTATTATTATTATTATTATTATTATTATTATTATTATTATTATTATTATTATTATTATTATTATCATCATCATCATCATTATTATTATTATTATTATTATTATTATTAATATTATTATTATTATTATTATTATTATTATTATTATTATTATTATAAAATAAGAATATAAATACTGTTTTAAAAGAAGCTGAAGAAGAAGAAGAAGAAGAAGAAGAAGAAGAAGAAGAAGAAGAAGAAGAAGAAGAAGAAGAAGAAGAAGAAGAAGAAGAAGAAGAAGAAGAAGAAGAAGAAGAAGAAGAAGAAGAAGAAGAAATAAAGTTTTGATGATGATATCATTATAATCATGCTGATATTCTTATTGTTATGATTTTATGATATTATTTTCAAAATTTTCTGTATAAATAACTATCATTACCATTTATTACATTCAAATCATTAATATTACTATTATTATTGTTATTATTATTATTATTATTATTATTATTATTATTATTATTATTATTATTATTATTATTATTATTATTATTATTATTATTATTATTATTATTATTATTATTATTACTCTTATTATTATTATTATTATTAATGTTTTTATTATTAGATATTTTGTTATTATGATTACTATTATTATTACTATCATTACTATAATATTTTTTAAAATCATTATCATCACATTTGTCATCATTATCATCACTGCCATCATCATTGGCATCATAATTTCCATTATTATTATTATCATTATTATTATTATTATTATTATTATTATTATTATTATTATTATTATTATTATTATTATTTATATTATTATTATTATTATTATTATTATTATTATTATTATTATTATTATTATTATTATCATTATTATTATTATTATCATTATTAACATTATTATTATTATTATTATCATTATTATTTATTATTATTGTTGTTATTATTATTATTATTATTATCATTATTATCACTGTTAATAACTAAAATTGCATTCCTAAAACATGAAAATGAGTTTGCAGAAAAAAGTATAGTTTATTGGAAACTAAAGATTCTAAATCATGACAATCATGAAAATTACTTCCATGTTCCCTCCGGATAAGTTTCATAATACAACGTTGTAAATAACGAAGTTGCCAACTTCAATATAATTTTATTACGAGAAGACTCACAACTGCTGAAATAAGATGCACGTTTTATTAGTTAGGAAGCGCTACAACGTAGTACAATCTATTGCATCCACTATGTAACGGTCAAACTATTATGGTGGGTAGTTGGGGGGTGCTCTGGTGTGGTTTGCTTCTTCTTTCCTGTCAAACAACTGTCGTCCTTATCTCCCCGTTTTCTTTTTTATGTTTGTTACTCGCTTGTAACACTTCTAGTCTTCTAGCGCTCATATGACCTTATGCAGTTGCGAGAGCCGTAAAACCTCTACTAAAACTTTTTTAAAACTAGTGTGATTGCATGCAGGGCAAGGAACGTAATCAATGATTGCTAAAACATCACCTAGACATTATCAGCGGCTCAGCCTCACCATGACTGCACTTTGGTGTGCCAGGTAAAAGTGACAACTCAACCTGGTTATCCCTGAACATAGTGGATAAATTGGTCGCTTTTACTTTTAAGGACAAGTGGGCTAACCCAGATTTCGGGGGTTCCAGAAATCTTGACCTACACCAAAAGTGGGCATTGCCCTACCTATAGGAGAAGTTTGGTTTCATTGGTGTGTATTATATTTGTTTGGTTATAGAGAAAACTCTCCTCGTCTTTTAAAGAGACTGAATAAGGATCCAAACACTGTAACTTCGAATTTCTCAAAACAGCATTTGACGGGATAGTCCCCCTGTGCTTAAAAGCGACCAATTGAGACAATACATAATTTCTTTTACATGTATTCAAATTTAATTTGTATATTTTCTTCCAGTTCTGTTGTACCTTCCAGCCATGTGTAACTAAGATATCGACAGTTCCAGCAATTAACTGGATCAGGGATGCATTTGAATAATTCCAAACCTCGCTGTCCATATAATCCCCCCTCCCCGCTCCACACACACACACACACACACACACACACACACACACACACACACACACACACACACACACACACACACACACACACACATACATGCATATTCACACACAAATACACACATATACACAAATGCTCACAAACAAACACACACACACACACACAAGCAAACACACACAAATACTCACACACACACACACATACAAACACTCTCTCTCTCTCTCTCTCTCTCTCTCACACACACACACACACACACACACACACACACACACACACACACACACACACACACACACACATACACATACTAAACCTCCACGAAAATGAAATATAAAGTATCCGACCCCCGCACAAACATACACGCAGCCCAGCCCATCCTTTTTTCACTTTTTTGTATTCGTTCGACTTACTGCCATTGCTGTTTGTCTTTATCTTCAGAATTGTCTTCCTTCCCTCTGTCTTTATTTCCTTATTCTTGTACAGAGCTGTGTTTATGTATATCTGAGCGTTTTGTGCAAGTAGTTTATCAATGACAACAAAAATCTGCCCACTGACATGTCTCTTCCTTACCCCCGCAGACTCCATTCGCTTGAATATGTCTGTTTAATTTTCTCGTTGGAATTAGACTTGCTGTTAACTTCAGTACGGAGAAATTGTTCGACGTTATAAACCCTGGGTAAGGAAATACTGTCTGCCCCGCCTTGAAAGTTATTACCAAGTCTCTTGACTTTTCCTCTCCTTAATTCTTGATCCTCCTAGTTTATTCGTTGTGAAACGTGAAATTCCCCTTTTGCGTACGTGCGCTCATTTTTATTTACATTCGCACAGGGTTTAATTGTGCTCATCCGTTTCTTTAATAAAACTGCATTCAATTTTTTTAAAGCAAGAGTATGGTGAGGTCACCTATAATAATATGGTTGTTATGGAGGTCTGGATTTGTTTTGAGGGTTTTCATTAATTTTTTTTTATTCGACATTTCAAGACACATGAGGAACGGTAGGTCTCCTTCACAGAGTAGATTCTCCTTATCTATTAAGGGCGGTGTTCGAAGAACTGTTAGTTCCCATCATGACGTCACAAGGTAAGGGTTACTATGTGTCATAGCTTAATTGTTGTTCCTGAACTCTGTTATCATTAAGAAGTCTTTGATAGCGTAAATCAGAAATACTACTAAATAGTTGTGTAGTAAAACTTCTGTCACGTAGTTTTCATTAATTTAGATTCATGTAATTGTAGATGTCTTGCACTGCCATTGACGGAAAATAAACTACATGTATTTAGGAAGAGTGTTATATATTTGCATAGTCCACCATTTTACAGATAAACTAGTTACGAATGCTGTCCTTTATATGGCCGTCTGAAAGCTGCAATTCACGTATGTGTTGCTGTTATTTGTTTTGTTTTGTTGTTGTTGTTGTTGTTGTTGTTGTTGTTGTTGTTGTTGTTGTTGTTGTTGAATAATTATTGTACTATAACTATCGTTATTATTACATTGTAATATCATCATTATCATCATTGTCAATAGTATCATTATCATTAGTAGTAGTACTGTTTTAGTATGCATCGTCATGATGATGATGATGATGATGATGATGATGATGATGATGATGATGATGATGATGATGATGATGATGATGATGATGATGATGATAATGCGGTATCATTACTGTTCAAACTGTTGTTGTAGTGCTTTTTTAAATAGTTGTTGAAGTTTTTGGCGTTTTTGTTTGGGCTGATGAACGTGTAAATAACAAATTTGGTGTAAGTCTGCAGTGAAAAAGTAAAACATACTCGAAACATGACAAAAGGTATTGTTGCTTTTGAAAAAGAGAAGAGGAGAGGAAGAATTGAAGTATGAACACACTTCTTAGAGAAAATAACCTTAAAGATGTTCTTTTGAGGTCTTCGGGGAATGAATTTTTTTCTGTGCATAGCCATCCTGCGGAAGAGTTGTTTGGCCTAGACATGAAGATGGTCAAGCAAAAAGATTTATTTTTTTTGCGTTATGTTTTCAAAGTATCTCTCTCTCTCTCTCTGTCTCTCTCTCTCTGTCTCTCTCTCTCT